CCCCTCCTGCCCCGCCACTAATAAGGGACAAACGCTGGAACAAAAGGGTTAAATGCGAGTTGTGTTCAGATAAACAAACCCACAGGAGGCCAGGCAGGTGGAGAGCAGCCAGCACAGATTTGGCACCAAGGAGGAGATCTAAAAGGCTCTGAGGCTCATCGTGCACAGGCTGGTTCTTGGCTTCAGCTTCCCCATCCCTGTCCACTTTAAATCAGGAGAAACTGCTGTCATCGAGTTTTTCATCAGTTGTTGCATAGTGAGGGGTGAATAATGAGTTCTGGGTCTCAGTAAATAAAAATCAAAGAGGAAAGTCTGATAAATGTGCAAGAAAAGGGCAGGAAAGGTCTGGGTCTCTGCCACCAACTCTGTGGAGAGCCATTGGCAAGTCATTGGATTTTTTTCCTCCCTCTTTTACCTCTTTCTGCAGAAAACAGAGATAAGGAGTATTTTCATTACTTGGTCTTTAGAATTGGTAACTCAGCATTCTGATAGATCTTCTTTAGGATCTCTAAGCAGTGCTGCAAATAACATCTAATTAACAATATCAATTAAAGCATTAATTGTAGATTTGCTTCCCAAAGAGTGACACTTACTTAAGTCTGGTCAAACAGCAAATAACACAACCAGTCAATAAACTGGATAAACCATCCAGTGTCAAGGAAAACAGCAGCTCCCTCAGGAGTTTATTGACTGATAAGAGCAATTATTGATTTAATAAGTGCTGTTCTTAGGCACTGTTTAGTATCTGCTGTCGTGTCCGTATTGCCATAGTTTGGGTTTAACAACATGTGAGAAGAATGAGGTGTCATTCAAATAAGTCATAAATCATGATATTTAAGATGTTATCATCATGGACTAATAGAATTATAGAATCGTTTGGGTTGGAAAAGATCTTAAAACACAACCAGTGCCACACCCTGCCCTGGGCAGGGTCACCTTCCACTATCCCAGGGTTATTCCAAACCCCGTCCAGCCTGATCGTGGACACTTCCAGGGATCCAGGGGCAGCCACAGCTGCTCTGGGCACCTGTGCCAGGGCCTTCCCACCCCTTGAGTAAAGAATTTATTCCTAATAACCAAAGTAAACTTGCCCACCTTCAGTTTAAAACCATTCCTCCTCATCCTGTCCCTACATGCTCTCCTCAAAAGTCCCTTGTAAATGTAACCGTTGAATTAAACCCCTGAAAAATGTGTTTCCAGTGGAAATGCAGATGAAAATCATATTTTATTTATTCTTCATTTCTGAGACAGCAGTGCATTTTTTTGGACCATTGCATAATCATATTAATGGGCTTTCTCTTCTTCATCAGTGAAGTCAAACACACCAATTTCTCACAGTTTGTGTCCTAAGAGCAGGAAAACAAGAAGGTTTATAGGAAAGCCCATGCAGTGAGGGTCCTATAGTCCTGCCCACTCCTTCACTGACATCAGAGTAAATTTACTGAGGTCTCTCTATAGTTTTGAAGGCACTAAGGTGAAAATATAACCCAGAAAAAACAATGTTTTGAAGTAATATTGTGAAAAATGAGAGAGTGTCTGGGATTCCTTACAACCTTTTAGATGCAAGGTCAGGACTATGTAAACAAATTAAATGTTGTGCACAAAATGAATCCATTTGAACTCCATTTCATTCTCAGACATGTGAGGAAGCAACACCAATGCCATGGATTTCTGTCAAATAAATACTCATATTTTGCTGCAGGAAAGAGAAATTTTCACTGTCTGAGGGCAGGGCAGGAGCTGCAGCATGCAGGAATCCAAAGGCATGAGGTGGCTGTATGTTCCCTTATGTCCTTTTATATAGACCTAATTATATATGGCTTTATATTTATATTTATATTTATATTTATATTTATATTTATATTTATATTTATACATACTAGCTGTTTCTATATATCAAATATCTATATATACAAAATACATAAATATAAACGTATAAATAACCATATCTATTATATATGTATTAATATATGTTAATTTAATATTATACATTATCTTTATATATATGTGTTTATATTTCATATATATATACATACAATATAAAATAGAAATAAAAATAGATACACATATATTTTATATGTAAAAAATATATATGTATTTAAATAATTGCATAAAAATACAAAAATATATCCACACACCCACAAATTCTATATTTGTATACATTATGTGCTCATTTTATCCCAACACTCAATAGACGAACTTTGACTTTTTGTTGTAACTCAGGGAATGATGTTCAATGTAAAGCTAATTAACTTCCTGGTATCTTAACTTATTAGTGAAAGTTGAGTTGATGAATCAAGCCTAAAAGCCTGTACAGACAAATATCGTACCGGAACTTTCTTCAGTACATTAGTGAAGACTCAGATGTAGAAATATATGTTTATAAAAGGCTTGCTTGCTCCTACAAATCAGAAAATTAATGTTGCTAGAAAAGTGGATCCCTTCATAATGTCCAAACAGAGTGAAATGTAATAATAATTTCACTATATATACAAAAATATTTCTACAACAAGCCTATTCCTTTGAGAAAAAAATGAAAAACTGTATTTATGTGTTTTAACTGTTATCACAGATGTCATGAAATTAAAAATTAACTAAAATTTATTATTTTAATATCAATGAGTCTAACTGCTATCTATATTTAGAATGAAAGAATGATAATTTTTATGTCATGCTTTTTAGACTGTAGGGGGAAAATAGCTCCATTCAAAACATTTAAATTTAAGAGAAATGTCTTTTTCTCAGCCATCACTGTAATAAGCAGGATGTCAGGAACATCAGGCATCACTCTGTTTAATACTGGCCTGATCTTCCTCCAGAAAGAATTCTGCTCAGCTTTAAGGTCAAATTTCTCTACAAATGATAAACTAACAGTGGATTTTTATGAGGCAAAGAGGTTTTGGGGAGTTGTCCTTGCAGTTTTTTCTTCCTTGCTTGTGTGGGTCAGTGTGAGGCACAGGCTGCTGAGTTAGGTGACCTCACTAAGGGGACAAATTCCACCAGAGCTGCTGGCTGGAGTGGCAGATGCTGTGAAAAGCACCATGAAAGAAGTGATAAGGGAGTGGTGGCTTTTTATTTGATCCTCTGATACACCCACAGATAAAAATTCCCACACCACAACCTGACATCCATGTTCTGCATTCAGATTTTAGCAACACATCCTGATTTTAGCAACAAATTCCTTAAACTGAGCTACACAACTGCTAATAAACTGGGGTTTGGTGGATTTAGGAGGAAAAAAGGTCTCTCCAAACTATTCTGCAGAGCTGAACATACAAATATTCTATTATTTAGCATTCTAATATTCTAAAATTGACCATCAATGAACCCACCACATCATCCATGATATTCTGCCAGGAATATGGAGCACGGGCTCAGCACTGCTGCAGCATCTGCCAGCTCTGCAGCTGAACCACCTTGGCTGCAGGAAAATGTTTGCTCAGAGTACTGGAGACACCTCTTCAGAATTTAGAGACCTCCCCAGCATCTGCAAATACCCAGGAATTAGAGGCACAGAATATCCTGAGCTGGAGGGGACCCACAAAATCATCCTGTCCCTGCATAAAATTGCAGGAATTGGAGTCAAAGAATATCCTGAGCTGGAAGGGACCCACAAAATCATCCTGTCCCTGCACAAAATCCCAACCTGTGCATCCCTGGGAGCAGTGCCCAATCTCTCCTGGAGCTCTGGCAGCCTTGGGAATGTGTCCATTCCCTGGGTCAGTGCCCCACCACCCTCTGGGGGAAGAACCTTTCCCTAAAATCCAGGCTAAATTCTTCCTGTGGAGGCCTGGGAGTATTTGGAGTAGGGCAGAGAAGGATGGAGATTGTGGGTGTTCTCACTGTGGCTTCCAGGATCAACCCTCCAGAGTCCCCAGTGGGTTGGATGTGTAGGATTGATGTTTAATAATCCATCAAAAATCACAATACAGCCTGCCTGATGCTTCAGATGAGTTTTCTATACTCTCACCATAATTTTCACATTAAACCCTCTTTTTTTCCGCCTTAAAAGTTATAAAAGCACATCAGATTTACTTTAGAGGAGACACAGAAAATCAAGGAATTTTAAATTATTATGTGAATGATAAAATAAAAACCCCACAATTTACACCATGCTGAAAGGCCTCCTGTTATTCTTTTATTTCTTTAGAGGCTTTCTCCTTTCCCAAAGGATCAAAATCAATCTTTTTTGGATTTGACCTTTAACAAAACCCTTCTCATACAATTTGGTGAAGGTTTTTCCAATCCCTAATTAACATTTGACCACCATAGTTAAAAGGGGAACAACCTGATGCCCTGTGGCCACTCTGGAGGATGCACAACTAAACTAAAATGAATATTTAACCTGCTGTAGTGGCCAGTGAAGTGCTGGGAAATTTTTTTGAGAGCGATCTGCAGCAGCTCCCTGAGGCTCCTCTGTGCACGGTGCAGCAGCTCCACTCCCTGGCAGCTCCTCCTGCATCCCCAGCTGAGCCAAAATCCACCCAGGATCCAGGAAAATCTGATTTCAACCCAATTCGGATTAAACACTTAGCACAGGGAGTTAGGAGGTTGGTTTGGCATCATTCCAATAATTTTTTTTTTTTTTTTTTTTGAAGAACAAAACAAAGGGAGATTTCTAATGTAAACCCAAAGTTTTGTCATTTCCCATTGTGATAGTTGTGTTTTTAGGATATTAAGCACCATGGGTTTGGACACAGTGGTTTTGAAGTGTTTGAGTCTTCCTTACTTGAAGCCATTCCCTTAAAAATAATTTTTAAAAATTCCACAAAAATGCTCCTACATCCATTTTTCTTTTTCTTCCTAGAGTCTGATGAAACATCATGAAACCAGATAGTCAACAATATCTCATCTTCTGAAAACCTTTTTCCACACATAAATATGCAGGGCTAATACAAAAATCTGGGCTACATCCATTCCTTTATGGGAGTCAAACTTATATCAAAATTAAATTGCAACCTATTATCATTATGAATTAATTATTTTCATTCTATTTGCAGGTTGGGAAGTGGATAATCTGGGGCAAACCCATGCAGGTAAGATCAGTTGTGCTGCCTATATCCTCAGAATTTCTGTTCCCAAAAATTGTGCAGACATCAATTTCAGATTATTAAAAAGTTGTCTGTGTATCAACAATTGTGACAGTGATACATTGGTACTTAACTATAATACTTGCACAAAAAGTGAAATTAAAAATCTCATAAGTCTTTTTAAATCAATGTGATCTTTCCTAAAGCTACAAAATTATCTTATTTAAAGCAATTAATTAATGCTCTTTGTCATTGATGGATGGAAACAATTTTTCATTAATTCTCTGAAAACTGGTCATATTTAAATACCCGAGGATTATAAATGTAAATTCCTATAGAAATCATATTTGACTTCTATATTTTTACAATAAAATTTGCCCCTGTTTATTGTATGTGTTTTTAGTTCTAAATGTAGAGGTTCAGCTTTGATTTAAACTCTCAAGTAAAGCTGTGTTTACTTCCTGAGAAGGCAGCACCAAGTATTTATTGCCTTTGGGCCTGATCTAAACAAATAAAAATCAATTGCACTCCATTCACTTCTTTCCACTGAGACCGGTTCGGGCTCTAATAGAAAACACAATCAAAACAATTTCATACCCAATTTCCACTTTTCTAGGTGATTATGACCTGCTGGAAAGCACAGCCCAGTCTCTCCTAGGTAAGAAACAGAACCATGGAAATTTTTGTCTCTCTTTTTATTTATCTCTCTGTTAAAAGAAAAGCTCTCAGATTTTTTTCTTCCTGCATTTTTGGTGTTATTTTCTAATCAGTTCTAATTGTTATGACTTATTTTCTGCTTTGTTACTTCTAGAAATATTATGAGAATTTATTCCTCCTCTGTGAAGCCTTGAAATCTAAGTAGTGTGCTGCTATAAATTATATCTACCTGCTTAACAGTAATTACTAAATGGTGTTAAAGGAAATCAGCACCATGACTCAGTGCTTTTTTTTCTCATAGAAAACTAGGGATGAATGTGCAAGAGTAATTTAGCAAACTTTGCCGAGTAATGCAATCTTCTTAAACAAATGCTGTGATTAAAGAGATATATTCTGCTGCATGGATGGCAAACAGATTCTCTTAAATAAGGTTAAAAATAAGGTTATAAGAGATCAAATTGCTCTTAGAATGCAAACCAGCACAACTTTAATAGCAAAGAGCAAACCCAAAACTGGGAAATTTCCATCAGTTTTGGTCAAGGTGCAACTGAAACTCCAAAAAGCCTGATAATTTGATTAATTGAGGCTGTTCCTTTGTGCTGAAGAGGAAGAAGTGCAGCAGAAGCCCATCCTTAATTTTTTGGGAAAGTAATAGAGCTTTGGGAAGAATAATGGTGCTTCAAAAGAGCCCCACAGGGGCTGCCCTACCTCAGACAGCTTTGTAGGTAAAAGAGTGTCAGGAGATTCTTCCACTTCTGTGCCCAACTCTTCATTCCCAGTATGGTTTTAAAGCCTAAATTTATCAGTGAAACCATTTAGGAGCTGCTTCTTATATTACATTAGCCAAAAAAAAAGGTATTTAAGCCAATATTTGCTTAAAATTAAGGTTATAAACCAGGATTGGAATAATTAATAGACAGAGGAAAGTGAGAAGCTCTAAATTCACCAACTGAGGCCACTCTGGGCATCTGGAGGTGTCAAAGTGTGGGAGTCCAGGACATCCCTCTGGCTGCCCTGGCAGGTCTGGGACCCTGGCAGGGGTCAGGAACCCCCCTGGACAGAGCCCCCAGAGACACTGTCTGTGATCTCTGTCCATGGAAAAGAGTTTTCAATCTTACAGGATGAATTACAAGCTCTGAGTGTTTGATAGAAGTAATAATTAAGTGTGGAACGGGTGCAAAAGTAAAATTTTAGGATTCTAGATGAGGGGTCCAAAGGGGACAAGATGGAGGAAATTGGGTGTGTTTTGTCCTTTTTCTCCTTCTTCATGCCCTCCATGTTTCACTGTGGTGTTGGCATTTTTCTGTTGGTTTAGGCTGAGGACACACTGTCCAACGTAGGTGACAGATATTGGCACGTTATTGTAAATCCAGCACAGGTAGTTTGTAGTATTTAATGTTTGTAACATCCCACTGAGGGCAGAGCCCCACACGCTGCCCTGCAGGACAGAGCTGCGGCAGGGCAGCAGAACATGTTAGAGATAAACAGAATAAACAACCTTGAAACCAGCACAGACGAATTATGGCTTCTTCTTTGGCAGCGGGGCTGAAAGACAGAGACTTTCTACAATCTCAGAATCATCAATACCTCAGATTTTGACAGCAAAGAACACATTGCCATGAAGACAGGGATGGGAGAGATATTCCCAGTCCATGTTCCTTCATTTTCTGCAGACCCTTCCCACAAAGTCACTCTGAGATCAGAGCCTGGGCTTGGAGATAAACGAGTGGGATGTGTCTTAGCAGGAGAGGCATCCAGCTGCCTCTCCATGGATACATAACCAATGATTATCTGAGATATCCCACAGTATCCTGACCGGCTTCCAGCACCTGGACAAAAAAAATCATGTTAGTCTGGTGTTTCTCACCAGTCCCATGCATGTGCCTCAGATATAAACCATTAAAAATATCACAAAGGGCCTGCTTTTAATCACTGCACTTCCCCTGTGGCTATGTGGAGTGGAGATATCTTCATCAAAGCTGGAGTCACCAGATGCCTTTTTGAAAGAAATGGACATTTAGCTGACCCCTGGTTTAGGAGAGTGAGATTTTTGGTGGCCTGGAGAAACTGAATGTGTTGGATAAATATTTTTGCTCTCTGGTGACTAACTTTAGTAATAGCCATCCATAAGTGCCTGTTGTAGGAGTGGATCATTAAAGACCTCATTAAATTTCCAGAATTAAATCTATGCACAGGCAGATAAACAGAGCTTCCAATAGAACTGTGGGGTTTTCTTTGCACCAAGGAGAGGGAAGGGATGTACCGTTTTTTTTTTTCTTCTTGGGATGTGACATTCCTGCTTGCCCTTGGCACAGGGGACATCAGCAGGAATTGCACTGAAGATGGCTGGTCCGAACCTTTCCCTCATTATTACGATGCCTGCGGCTTCGATGAGAACGAGACAGAGTCTGATAACCAGGTGGGAATTAATCTCATAATTAAAAATAAATGAAGGGGGGAGGGAGGTCCAGCCTACTGGTCATTTGATAATGATTAGAACAAACAATCAGATGTACATGGGTATTGGAATAAATCACACAGACTCCATTTTCTTCATCGTGGAAAAAGCCATTCTTCATTCACATAACTCCTTTTTATTCAGCAGTTATTTTATTTTGTATATATTTATCCTTTTATTTACTTGTGTGGGAGTCCAATTGGTCAGTAGTTTTCTTGCCAATTATTTTATTGGTTATTAACAAGTTGTTAATCTGTATTGATTGGTCACTCAAACTCTTGGTGTGTATGTGCAGGGAAAGTTGTGAGAGATAGTTTTCAATTTTCTATCTAATGGTGTAAAAAACAGTTTATACAGGTGCAAGTTGTTTTTCACCCAGGGATAGATTGTTATGTTAACAAATTGCTCACACCAGGATTGCTTTCACATGGGAACTTGCAAAGTGCGAGCTTGCCTTAGAAGAAATGGCAGGCTAACCAGAGTTGATTTTATGAAGCCTTTCTTTATGATTTTTCTACCTTACTGCAACACATGGGTATAAAACTGTGAGAAGTGAGATCTGAATCCTTCCTGGGCCTGTATTGAATATTTATAGAATATGAGCTTTTAGTGTTGTTACAGCTTGGAACTTCTAGAATTGCAGGCTAACCCTCAGTGCTACTTTTTTTCCTACAGATACTTATTTTTTAAAAATTGATAACTTTTGCTAGCTCACTGATAAACAACCTCATGGTGTTCAGACCCAGCCCTAGAGCAGAGCTGGATGCACAGTGAGATCTCAGAGGAAATGAGGAGAAACCAAGCCGTGCAAAGACGCAGATCCTGCCTCTGCTTGCCCCTGCACATTGGCAGCTGTGTGGCTGTTGATGAACCCTCTAACCCTGTGGTTTTTGCCTCCCAAGGATTACTACTATCTCTCGGTGAAGGCTCTGTACACGGTGGGATACAGCACTTCCCTGGTTTCCCTCACCACTGCCATGGTCATCCTGTGTCGCTTCAGGTGAGTGGAGACACAAGCAGTGAGCTGGGGAAGCTGGAGCTCAGCTGCCCCAAACTGAGTTAAAGGTTTTCTCTTTAACCAGAGATAGAATAATAAGGGGAAAATCCTTTAGCTGAGTTGCTCCCCCAGCTTGGGCACACTCCAGAAGTCACATTTCAGTGGAGTGTAAATGCAGCAAGAGAAGCTGTGGGTCTGGTTTACGAAACAAATCTGCATTGGGCTCATTCTGTTGTCTGTTTTATGCTTCTCTGCATCTTTTTACAATAAAATCCCCAAATCCTCCTCTCTCTCAGGTTTAGGGCCAGTACTAACACAGTCTTGGCTTAGATGTTGCTCTTCTTAGACCCAAGCTACTCTGGTAAAGTGTGTTCAGGCCCAGCATGACATTTCCATGAAATAAAACTGTTTTCTTCTATATTTCTTTTTCTTTCCCCCACCTTCCCTTCTTTTTTCCTCTCCAGGAAGCTTCACTGCACTCGGAATTTCATCCACATGAACCTTTTTGTTTCATTCATCCTCCGTGCAATATCTGTGTTCATTAAGGACGGGGTTCTTTATGCTGAGCAGGATGGAAACCACTGTTTTATCTCCACGGTGAGTCACACTGGAACCAAATCCTTTTCATTCACTTTTTTTCAGCTCAAGATAAGGAAATGCAGTGGGGCAGGCAGCAGTCTGTGGAGTATCATGAGTTATTAGAGGAAAAGGTAGTTGCTGGTTAACTTCCATCCCAGTTCTCAGCCAGACTGGATGTTTCATCTCGTGATGTCATCAGTGTCCTTCAGAACAAACAGACCTACAGGTTTTATTTTCTGACTCTGCCCTGACTGTTCCTCCCTTTCCCAGATCTCAGTGATGGGTGGGATGAGAGCAATTTCCTTCATCTGGAGGTCTGGTTTTTCTCCAGAGCCTCATTTGTTCTGGATGTCAGGCAGAACCACGTGTGAACAGGGTGACCATTATACACCTGATGGCCACATTCTCAGAAAATCATCAGCATTACCCACATCTTTGTCTCTTAAATATGGAGTTTCATGCAGAGCACTCTTTCACTGATGCATTTAGCATTTATTATGTGTAAATCCCAATTCCTTTCACATTTAAGGCTAGTATTTGATATGATAAATCAGCTGACTGGGTGTAATTATGACAGAATTACAAACTGAGCTCTGCTTTATCCATCCAGTTATGAGCTAAATTCCCTGTGAGTCACTTCCACAAGGCAAGTGCAGCTGTGGAGTTTCTTAGTCAGACTTTTCTTTGTCATTGAAACTAGTTTTTGTTCTCAATTTTTTTCCACAAGAAAGCTGAAGCCAAGTTAGGTCTGTAGTTTGCTCCTGCCACTCTTCCAATGGTGGCATCTGCCTCTTTGTTTCGAACCTCTTAAAGCACAAAACACATTAAAATCAGACATTTTATGACCAGAACTTCAGCCTGGGTAGAGCTTCCATGAAGAAACTCGAGATCTGAGGGTTTAAACACCTTGATGGTAGATTTGACCCAGAGGATGAAGTCAAAGTGGGAGCTAATCACTGACTTCAGCAGGAGCTTCCATTTTATACACAGTTTCTTCTCAGATCTCTTGGATTATGCCTTTTTTCCTCACACAAGGCACCTATTTATCAAATTATACCCTTTTCTAACTCAAAAATAAAACAACTAAAAAGTATTTTAAAAACTTTTATTCTATTTTCAGTTTCATGCAAAAAATAAAACAATACAAATACTATAATTCACACCATCACAATCAAAACCCAACTATTTCCTAATTACATTATAAACATTTCTTAACCTATCAACTTTTACCACACCATACTATAAATACCTTAAAACCAACCATCTAAAATTACCCCTCATAAATCCTGCTGCAATACATCTTTCATAATTCTAGTTCTCCAAAATATCTAATCTTATTTACAAAACCACCCTTTAAAACTTATTTCTAATTCCATTTTTCCCTCAACAATATCTATCCTCTTCCATAGCATTTCTAAATCAACATTTCTTATCTCAAAATTTGCATACAAATACATACTATGTAAAGCTTCTATCAAACTTTAAAAATTTTCTACAGATTCATTTGCCACAGATTTGTTGGAAAATCCTACTTTTGTAGGACTCATGGCATCTCACTGGGGTGCAGCACTGGAAAGATCAGTATGTTCTACTTTCACAGAAGCTTGGTTGCCACCTTAGGCTTTTTTCACAGAATCAATTAGGTTGAAAAACCCTCTGAAATTGAGTCCAAACATTGCCAAACACTGACAAATTCACCACTAAATCACATCCCCAGGTGCCACATTTCCACATCTCTTAAACAGCTCCATGCATGGTGACTCCACCACTGACCTGGACACTGTTCCAGTGACTGACAACCCTCTCAGGAAAGAAATTTTCTTTACTATCCAAAATAAACCTCCCTGGCTGTAATTTAAGACAATTTCCTCTTGTCCTAGAATTTGTTACCCCTGGGAGAAGAGACTGACCTTGTTACCACCTCTTATCAGGAAGTTATAGAGAGCAATCATGTCCTGCCTGAGCCCCCTTTTCTCAAGCCTAAACAAAATCAGTTCCTTTAAAAAAAAAAAATTCTATTTTATTTTAATTTTATTCTGGTTTTATTTTTCTTCTATTTAAATTTTATTTTATTTTTTCAATTTTATTTATTTTTTTTAAATTAATATTTTATTTTAATTTTATTTCGAGTTCTCATTTTTCTTTAGTTTGCTCCTCCCCACTCCTGTCCATGAATGAAAGCTTCTATCTTTTTTTTTTTTACAGCTGATCACTCAGCCTCCTTTCTCCTTACACTTATTTCCATTTTCTGTCCTTGAGTGACAACACTGATGATGAATGGCAAGGAAGTGCAATTCCCAGCTGCACACAGGAGGGTTCATCCTTTTAGATCCCACTCTCAGGGCTTTCCACAGCCATCCTGCCATTTCACATCCTTCTCTGGGTTTCTCAGTACACAACTGGATTTTTTTCTTCCCTGCATTTAATCCTGGAAGGGGGCTTAAGTCCAGTAATCGGTGTTTGATGGGGCTGTGAGCCCTCAGCAGTATAGGACGTGCTCAAGCTGCTCTGAAATGCTCCTTGACCACTTCCCACTGGTAAAATTGGCTTTCTCCCCATCCATGCTTTGCTGTCTAAGTGATACCTGCCATTCTTCACATCCTTTAAAACCTTTACCATTAAAAGCGTGTAATACCAGCCTCAGCTCTTTCCACTGAGAGATCTGCAGAGGTTGAAAGCATTTTTTTCTGTTAGGCCTAAGCAATGCAGAAATAACTTTGTTCTTCTCCATCCTCCGCAGGTGGAATGCAAAGCAGTGATGGTGTTTTTTCACTACTGTGTCATGTCCAACTACTTCTGGCTGTTCATCGAGGGGTTGTACCTCTTCACTTTGTTGGTGGAAACCTTCTTCCCCGAGAGGAGATATTTCTACTGGTACACAATCATTGGCTGGGGTACGTGGCACTTCTTGTCTCCAGCGTGTCTCGGTGTGCAGGATGGCTCCACAAACCACGTGTGGTATTTTCATGTCGAGTTTCAAACTGTGATTTTAGTCTTGGTGATGTTGAAATTATGTTGGAATTCGAAATGCAAGGAACTCTCAGAACTTTGGGCCTGTAAGCCAAAGGTTAGAATTAAACACAGGATTTGATGTGAAACCTTGGAAAAGGCTCCAAACTGAGGTGCTGGAAGAGAGAATGTGGATTTAGAGTTTAAAGCAGAGACATGTTAAGCTAAGTAAAGTTTAGAGTTTTAGAGTTTAAGATATAGAAAAAATAAAAGTAGTAACAGAGGTAAACAAGGAGATTAGAATGCAGCACTGTGGGTTTGTGTCCATAACAGGACTGGCTAAGAAAGCTCACACTGTAGCATGAGTCCATAAGACAAAATACTTAAACATTGGGTCAAAACCATAAATACTCTTATTGGCAGTGCTTTATTGGTCAATAACTCCTTAAAAGGTCTTGTAACTAAGGGTCTTGTGTCCTTCTGAGCCGTGCTGTAACGATGTGAGCCAAAGTCACCCTTCCTGCCTGTGTAGAGGATAAGAAAAATAAACCACATCATTAAAAATAATTCAAATTCCTTCCAAAATTCCCCACAAGTGAATTATCACAGCGTAGAGGTACCACTGCAGCACAGCCCAAGCTGTGTTGTGATTTTTTGTGTGAATAGAGTTGCACTGAAATCTGGAGGACACCACATCTCTTGCAGAGGTGTAATCTGCAACAGAAAATTGCCTCCTGCAAGATATGATCTCAACATCAGCTCCTTCAGCCTAATCAAATCTGTAAGGCTAAGTCCAGTCCATTTTCTAAGGCTTCATTTGTGCCTTTCTTCCATATAATAAGTAAATTGAAAATGTATTCAAAGGGTATTCACATCTGCTTATCCTACCTGGATGGGAAATAAAAACTTGCACTGGGAAGGAACAATATTTATTTCAGAAAAGCCAGTTAAATGATGATAACCGTGGTAATTTTTTTTCACTCTGGCCTTCTGGATATAAATTGATTCCTGTGATGTGTTAATGCAGTCAATTCTTTGCAGATGTTTTTTTGTGCAGAAGTCAGATGGTGAATGCAGAAGGATACATTAATTTAAAATGTTCCCTGAGAATGTTAAACTCAATTTTTATACTTACAGACACTTTTGAAATAGAAATAATCCTGTATATTCATGTGCAAAATCGACACACAAACCCCATGCTTTAAACTACTCTCCTTTGAAGAAACATCCTTATGTAGCCTTAATCTTCAAGAAATAACAGATGGTCTTGTTTTTCCCTCCTGAAGCAGCTGTACACAAATCAAAATTTTCATCTCCTGGCAAAGACTCCTTACAGTAGGGAAAGAAAATCTTTCTAGAAAGTATAGAGGCAGAGAAGGTACAGAGAGAAAGGAGTCAACAAAATATCATAAATAATCTGTGCCATCAAAAGGTTGTTGGAAATGGATGGTTACTGGAAAAAACCCTTGGAAAAGAAACTGTTAGAAAAGATTTTCAGGGCTCCTTTTGTACCCTCCACAGCTGTATAATCACATGATAGCTGAGAGAAAAGTGTGTTTCCAAGGAGAAATTGGGGGTTATGTATATGGAAAATGACAATTGGAAAAGAAAGCAATGCAAAATTGCAATTTGTAAAACCTTTCTAATCAGAGCATAAATCAGAGGTTGAGTTCCTTTAATTAAGTTTGCACAAATGTCATATCTGTGGATTTGTCTGAATGTGAGACTATTGAAAAACAGCTTATATTAACTGACTTCAGTATTTTTTTAATCAGTCCTTGTAATGAATAAACTGACCAGATGGGTTCATTCTGTAATGCAACCTCAAAATATTTAGTTTTTAGTTGAGTGCCATAGATAATAACTGGTATTGAACTAAACACTCAACTTCACAGAATCCCAGAATGGTTTGGCTTTGAAGGGACATTAAAGATCATCTACTGCACCATGGGCAGGGACACCTCCCACTATCCCAGGGTGATCCAAGCCCTATCCAGCCAGGCCTTGGACACTGCCAGGGATCCAGGGGCAGCCACATCTTCTCTGGGAACTCCATCCCAGCCTCTCCGCACCCTCCCAGACAGGAATTCCTTCCCAATATCCCATCCATCCATCCCCGCCCTCTGGCAGTGGGAGCCATTCCCTGTGTCCTGTCCCTCCATCCCTTGTCCCCAGTCCCTCTCCAGCTCTCCTGGAGCCCCTTCTGGCCCTGCAAGGGGCTTGGAGCTCTCCCTGGAGCATTTTCCTCTCCAGGTGAACACCTCCAGCTCTCCCAGCTTTTCTCCCCAGTGGAAGAGTTCCAGCCCTTGGAGTATCTCTGTGGCTTCCTTTGGATTCATTTCAGCAGGTCCATTCCCAGCTCCTGTTGGTGGGTACAACACTCCAGTCACTCCAGATTCAAAGCAGCATCAGCGATATCCATTAATAACTCCAGATTTGGATGGTTCTGGTTTGTTGGGGTTTTTTTAGACACAATTATTTTCCCATCTCCCACATTATTCACAGTTCCCCTGACCTGGTGGGAACACGTGGCAATTTGCAAAGCCAACAGAGGCAGTTCCAGACTGTGGATTCCACCCCTGGAGGGCAAAAGCAGCCCCTCAGCTCAGGGCTGGTGGGGAGAGAGCAGCACTGAAGCAGTGAGAAACAAGAGCTCAGCACTTTGCAGCATCTGGATGTTGATCTATTTCTCTAAATGTGCTGAGACCTCATTGTCCTCGTCTTGAGGGATTAATGAGAACTACATATGGGTCTGTTGATCCAGGCAGTTTTTTCTTCCTAAATCTGCAATATGCTGGCGAATTCTCTGGATGGACTGCTGTCTTCCTGAGCTCTCTGCTAATGCCAGCTCCTCATGATGCCTCAGGTTTTAGCTTTTGTATTTTTCAGGTTCTGTGCTGCTTCAGTGTGTGGGTCTGGGCTTCATATCAGGGCATGGTGAGCTCTCTGCACAGAGCAGGGAGACAAAACAATTCCTGCTCCAGCTGGGCACCAAGGACAAATGATCCAAATCTCAGCCCCAAGAGCACAAACACCGTGGGCTGGAGAGAGAAAAACAAGCAGGATGGGACTGCCTGGGCTAAAGCTGGAATTGGACAATGAACTCCAAGGTGCCAATGGAGCAGAACTGATCCCAGTGAGAGCTCCCGGGAGCATTTTGGGACCATTTTGGTTGATCTTGGGTTCAGCCCTGGCTGAGCTCTGGCGCTGCCCAAGGTGAATCCATGGAGGAGATCCTTTGAATAAATCCATATTTTATTCTTTAGCTCTGCGTCCAGCCTCTGTTCTAGGTCAATCTTCAGAAGACATCACTAACTCAGGGCAGTACAAGTCAGCAAGAATAAATCTCAGCCTTCAGGGCTTGTCTGTTTCCTAACATTCATCAGAAGCTGAAAAGAAGGCAATGGAGAGATAGAAATCTTTTGATATAAAGAAAAGTAGTGTAAGGATATGTATATTCATACAGCAGATGGTTCAAAGCTCCAAGCTGATCTGAAACAGGGGGCTTTTAAATGCATTTTTATGATACATTGAGTTTTATTTCTGCCTTCCTGCGCATTTTACAGATTTGGAACACTATTCATAACACAAAATTTATATAGAGGAAACTAAATAAAGCATGAGACCCATGTTTTATAGAATCAAAGAATGGTTGTGGTTGGAAGAGACATTAAAACTCATCTCATTCCCACCCCCCTTCCCTGGACACTTTCCACCATTCCAGGTTGCTCCAAGCCTCATCCAGCCCAGCCTTGGACACTTCCAAGGATGGGGCACCCACAGCTTCTCTGGGCAAATACTTGATATTTAAAGGTTAGTTAGATAAAATTAAAATTAAAGTTTGATATTAAATAACTCCTTTAAGGGCAAAAAGCATTTTTTTCAGTGTTTTCTAGGTATTCACCTGTGAGAAAAGCAGACTTCAACTGAAATTTAATGTGCATGATTTCTTCTTCCCGAAACCTGTCATTTTATTTCTTTATATCATTTTCTTTTCAAAATTTTCTCTGTGTGATTGTTTGAAGGAGGAGGACTCCATCAGTGACCCAGGTCTAACAGGGATATTTTTATTTCTGATGGTGGGAATATGATTAGACAGAAGCTCATCTAAGTGGGTTCAAATGACCGACTAATTAATGTGACATCAACACAGCCTTGCAAAATATATTAAATATAATTGTTCCTGTCAACTCACCACAGTCTTGTTCACTGCTGGGAGCTGGGGTTATCAAGATCCTTGTTTTGTTTGGTTTTTAGCACTTTTCTTTCCAGCAATTTTTTTTAAATAGATGTCAGCAGTATCTTGGTCAAAGATTTTATTTACCATACAGTGGAGATTCAACTTACCCAGGGTTGTCTTGCACAAATGCATTATTTTATAAAAATATTTCCACTGAGGAAAAAAAAAAATCACACTTCCAGGATTTTCAGAAAGGAAAATAAATCCAGGTTTCTCAGTGAGTTTTTACTGTTTTAATTAAATTTGCATTTGACATGCATTTTTTGAAAATGAAGAAATGTCTGAAATAGGAATTAAATCCTTACTCCAAGACTCTCTTTTTTGGAGTCTGTTGTTTAGTTCCGGTATTTTTTTAATGGAAAAAAAAATTAAATATTCCTGTCAGCAGAGGAAACTTCTCGTCTATGGGTTTGTTTTGGTTGAATAAGTAAAGAAAAACTGGTTATTTACACAGTTACAGAGAAAACATATGCAAATCATTTGCAACAAAACCACAAAAGAATACACAGAATCCAATTATGCCATTCCAGCTCAACATCTGGCACTGCAATTCTTGCATGATCCCAGTAGCTCTAGACATGGATGTGGTTCATTCTCCTCTGTCTAGACTTTGTTTTATTCTTCATGCAGCAAAATGCAGTAAAGCACTGAGCAATAATGGCCTGGCACAGCATCATTCTTTCCTGCTCCCAGTTTTGCTCCTACAATCCAACCCCTGACTGGCAGGGATGTTTCTGCATCTCTGAATTAACCCAATAAATTGGTTTATCCCATGCACAAGTGCTGCCAGGAAACCAAACCTCAGTGGAGAGGTTGCAGAAATGCTCATTGCTGAGTATCAAGTGTGTCTGGACTGTTCATGTGTCGCTGTCTTGTCCTCTGCAGGTACCCCGACAATTTGTGTCACTGTCTGGGCAGTGCTGAGGCTCCACTTCGATGACACTGGGTAGGTGTTGCTGGGTGGGAAATGATTTCTGGTGCATTCAGCACCATGGCAAGGGTGCAACAGGAGTGTGGTGATTGGAGAAGAGTCATAGAGGGAAAGAATCCTTTAGGTTGGGAAAGACCTCCAAGGTCACCAAGTCCAAGCTGTGGCTGATCCCCACCTTGTCCCCAACCCAGAGCACTGAATGTCACCTCCACACCTTCCCTGGATACCTCCAGGGATGGTGTCTGGGTTTGAACAGACAGGTGTCTGCTAAGGAAGGCAGGCGCCTTCCCTGAAATGGAAAATATAAACCTCCTCCCTCTGGATTATTATAATTTGGAAATTAAGGGGCTCTCGGGCAAAGATATGGGAGTAGTAGTAACAGTTCCTTAATAGGAAAATTAACAATACAAATGCAATAGTACAAATTAAAAAAATAACAACACTGCCAGAGTCAGAAATGCCCTGGCAGCCTGTGGGTTAGGGAGGTGGCAGCAGTCCCATCCCATGGTGGCTCAGCCCTCCTGCAGTGCCAGCTGTGCTTCTGCTGGAGCAGGGATCCTGCACAAGGGGGAAGATTTCCTCCGGAGCTCCAGGGCTGGGGGAGATGGGCCTGGGCTCCCTCTGGGAACGCAGTGGGGAAGAAAGCTGCTCCTCTGGGAATGCAGTGGGGAAGAAAGCTGCTCCTCTGGGAATGCAGTGGGAAGAAAGCTGCTCCTCTGGGAATGCAGTGGGAAGAAAGCTGCTCCTCTGGGAATGCAGTGGGAAGAAAGCTGCTCCTCTGGGAATGCAGTGGGGAAGAAAGCTGCTCCTCTGGGAATGCAGTGGGAAGAAAGCTGCTCCTCTGGGAATTCAGTGGGCAAAGGCTGCTGTGCTGTTCCCAGGTCAGATTGTATCCAGGTAGGAATTCTTGGCTCCTCCCCTGGGCGCAGCATCTCCCCATGGGATGATGGAATTTTCTCAGCCATGCAGGGACACTCACTGGCCATGAACAGAAGAGATCTCCTGGAGGGAGGATTGGCTGTGGGAGAGATAAAGAAAAAAAACTGCCCCATGAACAGCAGAGAACTGCCCCAGCTCTGATAGATGGCACCAGAACACACACCCCCATTTCCAACCTAAGAGAGATGGAGACTCCAAACTTCCCTGGGTTGCCCCATCCAAAATTCAAAAACCCTTTTAGCGGAAAAATTCTTCCACTGAACCTCCTGTGGCACAACTTGAGGCCATTTCCTCTTATTCTGTTTTATCCTTTCATTTCTCACATCTATTTGTGTATAAACATAATTTAGGTCCAGAGTTCAAGTACTCTTCTATTCACAGAGTTACAGATTGATGTCTGTGCCACCACTGCACTGGGGAATTCCTAAAAGATTCAGGCATCAAACCTGTAAACCTGCAGCTGACCCCATTCCCTGCTCCATTGAATTTCTAGAGTGCAGGATATGGTTTGTCTCATCTTACAATGGAATTCCACATAATTCTCTGTTTCTTTCCCATTGATTGTGCAGCAAGATGAAGGTGATGAGCTGAGCTGGAGAAATTACTGGATATAAATCTAGTAAAATGAAGGAAATCTGCACAAGGCATTGCTTCGCTTTGATTTGCCAGGGCAACTAGGAGTTTAGCTTCCCACCGAGGAAGGTTTTCCATGAATTTTGCAGGGGAGATGAATAGAGATGAAACAGAAATCCACATTCTGTCTTCTGTGTGGAAAAAAAAAAAAAATTCATAAAGAATTCAACAGGGTAGGTCCTTCCCAAATTGTCTCCTTTGGTAAGAGAAAAAAACTGCAAATATCCTGTTCTGAAGGACCAGAAGGAAAAGCTGCTCCCAGAGTTGGACCTGCATATTTTGGTAGTCAGTATCTGCTCCTGTAGAGCATCAGGTGTGGCAGGTAGGAATGGATGTGTATTTACACCCTGAAAAGACAAACTTGGCAATGATTTTTCATGAGACCTATGGTTGAATCTGGTGAAATGTTAGAAAAAATGAGGCAGACTGAGTAAAATTTCAAAAATCAGTCACTGGTTCTTTGAAAACACAGAACTGAGGGAAAGGCACTTTGTGCCTTGGAAATCTCATTTCCAAATCATTGAGGCTTATGCTTTAATTTTGCCTAATACTGGAAATACCTCGATGCAAATTTTCCACAAAACTCATCGGTCTGTCAGGTTTTCTTCATCCTTGTTCATTCAGACTCTCTCTGCAAAGCAAATAAAGCCTTTCCTCCACTGGGGATGCCAGTGCTGTGACCCAATGTTCTATTTTGACATTAAGACAAATTAAATCATTTATTTCCATGCAAGAAAAGCCAGAAACCCCTGTTGTGTCATTATTAGGATTGCAGCACTGGCCCTGAAAGCACTAATTTCTCTTACAAGTCCAAACACCTCTTGCATTTTGCAGGTAGGGAGAATGTCTTGTGCAAGGAAAAAGAAGAGAAAAAAACAAAACCAAAAAACATTCCTATAATTTAGAGAAGCCATTTAGCATGCAAGGCATTTAGACAGGTTCTAGCTGAGAGTCTCAGTGGTTACTTTTTAAAAGTCAGCCAGCATTGTTCTGGGAGTGGGGGAGAAACCAGCATGAGCCCAAAAACATAGTGGAAATTACTGAACTGGAAAACCACAGTGGCAAAGGCATGGACTGAAGTACAGGCTCGGAGCCTGAGTCCCCTTCTGCTGTTCCTTATAAAACTGGCAGAGTTCCCTCGATTTCAGCTCCTGATTTCCATCACTGTAAGTGACAGGATTGAGGAGATAAATGCAGCTGTCTGTTCATCCAGAGCTCTGTTCCTGATTTAAGTGGAGTTATTCCAGACGTGCACCAGAGATCAGCCTCTGGCCTCTGCAAATGGAAATCACATCCCTTCCCCAGCCCCATGGCTCCCTTCCCTTCATTCGTCCTGAAAAAGAATAATTTCTTTTCATCCTGTACTGTAGGGAAGCATTTGACAGAAATTAGGGAGCTTGTTTACATAGTGCAGAAAATTCCAAATGTTCTGTCGTGCATTCCCACTTTTTTTATCTGGGGAGGAGATGGTGGTTCCGTCCCTCACATTTATCCTGCACGTGTCACAGGGACTGGACATCCTTGAAAGTCCTTGAAAAAAATCTGTGTGAGATTGATCTGATTCATTGTTGACATCTACAAGGTGAAAGTTGGGAATTGAACTCCTGGAAAAACAGGGGAGTGGTTTAAGTGGAAGAAAAGGTCTAAGAAGAGAAGAAAAAAGCAGAGAGGTCTAGGAATAGGAATTTGTAGGGGATGATGTATCACCCCAGAGTGCACATTTAAAGTACCTCAGTGTGGGAAAAATAAACCCAAAACAACCTCCAAGGTCCTCTTTGCCCAAACCAAGTTCTGGGATAATTAAATGGGCTGTTGATCTCTACAATCCTGATAACTGGAATTAGAGGTGGATTCCTATCCCTGTAATTCTTCATTCCTACGCAGACAAGTTGCCATATGTCAATATCTACTTTTACAGCTAAATTAATAGGAGAATTCACCCAAGATTCTTCCAACATTGGTCAATTCACTAAAGACTTTCAGGGCAGATTTAATGTCCATCATAAGGAGGTTGAGCTCTACAAATAATGGGTAATTTACAGTAGACAGGACCTAACTTATAAATGCATAAAAAGAATTTAAAAGATAATTGGTGATTTTAGGTCCATGCCATTGTTGATCACTGAAAAAAGCCTGATTTCCAGACTGTGGGTGAGGAGATCCCTCTGAGCATTTATCCCCTTTCAAATATTTTAAGTTGGGCATCCAAAGTGAGATAACTAAGAAATATTAATTTGTACTTGGAAATCTCAGTCATCAGCCCCTCAGATTGTGGGTGATTTCAGGCTTCCATGGTGTGCAAAATTACATAATTCTGTGTAAATTTTCTCACTTCTCGCCAGCTGTATTATACAAATCCTTATTTGTATGCTGGTTTATGGGAATCCAGTAAAATATTGTTGATTTGAAATTAATAAATATTGTTCAACTGAAAAGAATGAAAGAATGAAAAGAATGAATATTGTCCAACTGCAAATATAAGTTTAAATGAAATTTCTAAACCAGGCATCACTCAGCCATTTGGGATTTCTCTCACACACACTTTGATGATGGGATTTTAATTCCGCTTCCTCACTTTTACATATGTATATAGTTTTGTTTAAAGATTTTCACCTTTCCCCCAGATGCAACTATTTAAATGACACTGAAGTTGTAGTAAGCTCTCATGAGACCAGCAGTGTATTATTCCTGTATGTTCTTCCCAATTGTTTTTTGGCATTTGACAAATGCACCATGACAGCCTCTGCTGGGACTTTGGCTCATTTCCCAGTGGGAAGGAAAAACTCCTTCTCAGAACTGCAAGTAAAATTTAGACAGATTTCCATGATTTTATATTTTCTAGGGAGAAAATCGGGGTAAGAAAGTGGAGGCAAATGAAAGAAAATTTTTAGTTGAGAAATTCTTGATGACTTAAAAAAGTCACAAAGACATTTCTTAATAATAGTAGTAGTCATTATAATAGTGTAGCAGGGCCTGGAAAATAAGATTCTTTTTGCTATTATTGGTTTTCTAGCTCTAAAAATGTATGTTAACTTTAAAATTCTCTATGAATATAAGCCATATATTTGAATGTCCAAGTGCCCCTGCGTGAAATAACCTTCTGCAGAATCCTTTGGGGATTTCAGAGGACGATTTTAAACTCTGGGGTCGAAATGTCATTTTAGTTATGAATACTCACTAGCGACAGCTTAACAAAGGAGTTGACCCCAACTATTGCCCAGTATTTGATCCTTCTCAGATGAATCCTGGATAGGACTTGCAACTCAATGACTGGAAAATCATTCCAATATGTGAATAAACCAGGATCCTGGTTGTACTGGAAATGTGTAAAAATCCTTGTGTCAGGGCCAGAAACCAACATTCATATCTGTTAACCCTAGAAAAGTAAGTGAGACATCAAACTTTGGAATAGCCATCAAAAAATCCCCTTCCATTGATGTATCACTATTTTTTTTTTTTTAAAGGACAACTTTATGGTTGTATTATAGACACAGAAACACACTTAAAGGGTTTTTCCAAAACATCTAAGCTGTTTAAGAGGAATACCTTCAAAACTGCCACAAAAATACCCAAAAAAACTTCTTTTACTTCCAAATGATTGTGGAAAGGCTGTAAAAGAAATCTGCAATAAGACAAAGTAAAGAACTATCACTTTAAACTTAGCTAAAATAATTTAGCTGCAAAACCAATTTCTCACCTTCTGCCCCCTTAAAAAAAAAAAAAAAAAGTTGCAAATTCATTAATTTCATTGTTATGTCTTGTTTTCTTTCCTTCTCTTTCCCCATCCCATTCTTTCCTCAACGACTGCAGCTGCTGGGACATGAATGACAACACTGCCTTGTGGTGGGTGATCAAGGGTCCCGTGGTTGGGTCAATCATGGTGAGTAGCACGTGGAGAAGACAATTCCTCAGCTCTCCTGGGGACAAATTTAAACATCTTCAAATACTTTACAAACCGTGCTGCACCCTTGCCTTGTGCTGGACTGGTGGGCAAATTCTCTGAATTTTCATTGTTCGCTGCCCACAAAGACAAGGAATTTCATTAATAAGAAGGATTAATATAAATTAAATGATGGAGCACTGCCTGCAAGCCAAGGAGTTATTCAGTTAAACACAGACACAAATGCTAGAATTTAGACCACAGAGCATGTGGAACATTTGTCTGGGGCGGGCAGAGGTGTCATAGGATGTATGGAAATTCTGGGCCAACTGGGGTGAAGGCCAAATGGGACAATCCAGGGTATCTAAAACAATAGTAAATGTCAGTGACCAGGAAAATGCACTCTGTCTGCTGAATGGGATTAACTTCACGGCTACATTTATTTATCCAATATTAGATTTAAAATAGTGCTTTGCCATAGTGCAGGATGTTATATTGCCAGCAAGGTGTCTGAGCTCTCTTTAATTGATGGAACTCTTGGATTTGGCTTAAATTTTGTCAGATACCTGCACATGGAGGACTGAGAGGTTCCAAAGTGCCCTGTTTGGTCTTCACAGAATAGCTAAAATTGGAAAGAATTACTGGAAGTCATTTGGTCCAACCTCACTGTTTAAACAGGATTCCCTAGAATATATAATTCAGGATTATGCACAGCTAGATTTTGAATATCTGAAGAGAAGGAGATATTCTGGTGCTCCAATTTAAAATTTTAAAATTTAGAATTTTAAAATGCGTTGGGCTCCTGCATTTAGGAAAATAAATTGAGCCCCTGGACAATATGGTCAGTGGCACCTGAAAATCTGTCAGGCTTGCCACGTGTGTCTCATTCTGGGTATTCTAAGTTGCTCTCCACACTCCACAGACATAATTAAGCAGGTTTTCAGTGGGTTTGGTGGGAATTCATTCATCCAGCTCACAGGTAACCAATAAAACAGGAAGTTTTATCAGGTTTGGTATTTCTCCTTTGAAATATTCAGACAGCTCTGTAAAGTCCAGCAACTGTCAGATAAATGAAACAAAATTCAGCCAATTTCAGCACCAAAACAGAGAGGGTTTAATGATCCAAGGGTTTTTTTTACATGTGTGAATTTCTGTGTTTTGCAGACACAATCTATGAAGGAACATGTTCCGCTTGGGGAATCAATTAAACCTGGTTTCTGAATTAAAGGAATTAGAGAACCAAGCAACCAGTAAGGGGCATCTGGGCTTCTCCAGCCCTTTGTAGTCCTCAGATCAGACAGAAGCTGCTGGAAGATGTTACAATTCTGGATGTTGAGAATTTTAGACTTTCTGTGCTGACAGACTCTAGCTCCCAAGAAAGCATTACATTTGACCTGAAGCTGTAGAAAAATCTTCCAAAATTGATTGATGACACTAGGATTACAAGTGTGTAGTTTAATTAGAAGTGTGTAATATCACAAGGTTAAAAACTTATAGTTTGGGGTTTAAGAATACAATAATATATAGAGAACAAGATAGAAGTTTTAGAACAGAGACTAGTCCTTCTTCACCTTCTTCTCTGTAAGTTTGAGTAGTATTTTGTAATTAAACAGAAAAGTCTGCATTGTGGACTTAAAGTGATTAGTCATTAAGTTAAAAGTGAAAATAATTTAAATGTCATTTCTTAATTAGATAGTTTAACCTTAAAAAGCATTATAACATAAAATTGTTAACCATTTTATACGTTGTTAGTAGAATACTACAGAACTCCCTACCTGTGAGACTAACATAAATAAGAAAAAATAAACATTTGAGTCAAGTACCTTCAAGTACCTTCAATCCCAATCAAAAAAAAAAAAAAAAAAAAAAAAAAAACAAACCCAAAAACCAACATTATACATTATAATGGTGCCCTATGAAAGGATCAAACTCACAATCTACAGATTATGAAACTGATGCTGATGTTCATGTTCAGTTCCTGGTCCCCCTAGATGAGATTTTATAATGGACCAACTTAAATTTCCACTGTCCAGGCTCTAAGAAGCTGGGGAGTTGGTGACAGACTAATCTCAAGCCAAAGCATTAAAATAAACTAATTTTATCATTCTCCAGGTTTTAAAACTGAGAGAAACACTTAAACCGAGAAGTCTGTTGGTCAGAGAACAGAAGTTAAAAATGCCTTTACTCTGGAGTTCTTTATTTTATGACCTCCTGTTTTTTTGTGCAGGGATCCTTCTTTTTGCTCTGCACAAGTTGATAATAAAAAATGTTGAAACTTTTCCATTTATGTTTCTCTTCTCTTGTCTTGAAACTGCAGAAATTATGCCTCATTTTAGCTGCAGCAAAGGGGATAAGACCCTTGTGGACTTCCCACATTACTCCTGACCCTGTAAAACTTTTAGACTGTAGATTGGAGGAAAAAAGGGAATCTAACTAGCATGTCTCATTTTCAGACTTTGTAAAAGTATGTCATTGTCACAATTTTTTCCTTTTTTTTCTATCCCCCAGATAAACTTTGTGCTTTTTATTGGCATAATTGTGATACTTGTGCAGAAACTCCAGTCACCTGACATCGGGGGCAATGAATCCAGCATTTACTTGTAAGTACAAATAAAGCAGTAATCAATTTAAATTACTGATATACACATAGGAAAAATCCACAAAGTAAAAAAAGAAATCTCAGGTGAATTAGGTTGATTTTTGAAAAGAGTTGCAAGGCCTATTAAATTATTTTGGTTGATTTTTACTTTAATTTTTCAATCCATCAGCTGTGTAAGTGCATTTTAATGCCAGCTTTCACATTTCTTCAAAAGGCCCATTAAATAAGTATAAATACAAGATTAAAACCAAACCCAAAGCAAATCTAATGTTTTTATATGTCAGTTATCTGAAAATTAACATATTGATATAAAAATTGTTATCTTTATGGGATGCTTTGCTGTGCTTCATAAGTTCCAGGACATGGTTCAAAGTTCACTGAAATCAATGAGATTTGGTGAAAAGGTTTAATTAATTTTAGGCTGAATTATAGTGTAGGCAGATCCCCTAGACATGCTTATGTCCATGTTTCCTGTAAACTTAAATACATTCCACTTAAGCCAAACATTTCACACACACCCTTAAAATTGTTTTAAAATGCACATGAATCCTAAAATTTTCCTCTAGATGTTTTCAGCTTGGTGATTTATATGTTTTTTTAAGCTGGAATCCTTTTTATTAACTTCCACCTCATAAGAGGGCAGAGGTTGGCCAGTTGAGGTGGTTGTCAATATCATTTTTGTTTATGCAGTCATTCTCCATATAAAAATTATATAATCCTCTGGCATAACTAGGATATGGGGCAGCACATCTGGTGTTGGCCTAAACATCCTACACATTTGGTTTTGTGTTTTTTTTGTGAGCTTGAGTATTTTCTTGCACACATAGACACAGGTAGTACTATTTAATTTAGTACAAAATTCCTGATGAAAATAGGCAAGATATGAACACCTTAAATAAAACTAAAAGATGTTAGGGTAAAGTAAGAGATGCTTATTTGGTAGCAAATACAATTATCCAGTGCTGAGTTTCACCCTAAGTAACCACAATCATAATGTAATAATGTCATCCATCTAAATGACAATTTTCAGGGAAAAATATATCCTCCAGCTGCCGATTTTTTTCCCCCTGCTCCCCCCCCCCCCCCCCCCCCCCCGTTATCTAGTTTGGATTTGTATTAAATAATAATATTTTCTACATCAATTTTCATGTCTGTAGCCAGACATCCACTTACTGAAAGCACTGTTCCTTTCATCTCGGTCTAAACTATGTTTCCACAGTCAAAAATAATGTTTTAAATTGATTCTGTGAGTGGATTTAGCTCAGAAATACAACTGAGGATGAGACTTAGTGACTAGGTTAACTTGTGCATGGTCTGCCTAGGGCTTGCATGAAGGCTTCCCATGGATGTTCTGCTGGGAAGCCATCCCTGAGTTCTTAGATTTTAATTAACACCTGAGATGTGCAGAGCTCGTTATGAGTCTGAATTTTTAAGTGCATGTTGGGTGTCTGCTGCACATCTCACGTATGAAGCAAAGCATGCCACAGACTCCAGAGATTTAACTGGATGATCAAACATCCCGTGTCATCTTGGATCAATATGTTGACTGGGTTTTGCTGGTGTTTTTCCTATGTGTATAGCTAGCCACCAAAACCAAGAGAAAACATCATATTTTCTGTTCCATTCGCTGCCATTATTTTTTTTCTCATGTTTTTTTGCAATTTTTATAACCGGGTGTGTATAAATCGATCTCGCATTGATGTATGTGTTATGGAGTGGAGTGTTGTTTATCCAAACAGATTTGACAGCAGCAAAGTTCACACAGGGACGATAAAAAGGAATGAAATTGATAATTCTCTGCAGATATACACCAGACAGAGTCAATATTTGTGCACACAAATGCTGTAAAAAGGGAGCTTGTAAGGAAGGAAGACGATAGATCATAATCTGGTTCTGTCACCATATTGAAATATCTCACATTTAGACTGTGGTTCATATTAAGTATTTTCCATGTTCTATTTTGCTGTTTCAAACTATTGTAGCATCATTCCATCAGACCAAATTCCTCATCCAGATCTTTATTCCAGAACATCTTTAAGCACTTTCCCTTTAGTAGGTGAGGAACAGTGAGGTTTGAGGAAGGATTTTCAGCCTGTTTCTGAAGGTAATTCTACATGGATCTGCAGCAGGGATTGAGATTTAGTCTAATATCAGTCTTCCATTTTTTGGAATAACCCTTTAGACAGCTGTACTTCCATCATCAAAAAAAAAAAAAAAAAAAAAAAGAAAAGAAAAGAAAAAAAAGAAAATTAAAGACGCCAAAAACTTGGCTACTGACTTTGAGCAGTATTTATTTCATTATATATTTGGTACATGTTTAGGTTCAAGTTCTTGTAATGACTATTTTTGTTAGAAAAATCTACCTCTTCTACTTCATAGACACAGTGGTGATGGTTCTGCAAAGCACTTGAGGCTGTATTTGATTTTTAAAGCCCCAGGGATAGGCTTAAATTGAAAGATTAATCATATATTGCTACCACTGTTCATTCAGTATTAAAATCTCCCACTGGAGAAGTTGGCTGGGAGCTATGACAGGACCATGGCAGAAGAGAGCACTGCAGGGGAACTGAGGCTTAATTAATGCAGTGTAGCCACTGGAGAATTCAAGGTTTACCTTAAAATAAATCAAACAACCATTTGCATCTTTTGCTGTGCATTACTAGGGCTTTACTCCCATGAAAAAAACTAGAATTCCTCTCTAAACAACCTGATCATTGTGTGCAACAGTCTTCTTCTTTAGGCTGAAAAAAAATTGGGAACACGTTGCTAATTCCTCACAATTTTCATGGAGTGGCCAAGTGCTTCGGTGGTTATAAACTTCCATTTTATCCACTTGTATGTTCAGTCATTCATCACCAGTCTCATGCCTCCCCAGCCTTACCTCATGCTTTTAGTTTGCCTTGGAGCTGCCTGCATGCTGCTGAGACCCCAACATCCCACCAGGTACTGGGAGAGGAATCACTCCATCCTTTTTTCACTGATGTTTTCGAGAGAAGCTCCTCTTTACTGCTGAAAATATTGGAGATCTCTAAAATACAGATTCATCAAAATGTCTAAGCAGTTGAGGCAGGAATTCAAAAAAAGACATAGAAGACACACCTTTAATAGTAATTTTAATTCTATTGTTGTTTTGAGTTATTCTTCTAAGAAACTTTCACACTTTCTCCCAACAGTCATCATAACCATGAGTTACTTTTTAGTGTGAGGAGTGCTAAAAATGTTAGGATTTTTTTCTTGAAACATGTCTGGTTTCAGTTAATCTTGTGTCAGTCCTGAATAATTCTGCCAAATTAAGCATTGAACTGAAGCAAGATCAGTAATGCAAATGGAATAGATTTTTATCTGAGGAACAAGTTCTGAGATCCCCAGGAGGTGGGGAAGCATAAAGAGCTATTGATTGTATTCTTAGAGTAATTAAGACAGCTATTACAGAAGTTCAGGCAGGTTTATCACCTCAGCTGGTGAAATAAACAGCATTAATGTCCCATGATTGCAGACATAAAATGGTTTGGGTTGGAAGGGGCCTTAAAATCATCCAGTACCACCCTCTGCCATGGGCAAGGAAAACCTTCCACTATCCGAGGTTGCTCCAAGCCCCATCCAGCCTGGCCTTGGACACTTCCAGGGATGCAGGGGCAGCCACAGCTTCTCTGGGCACCCTGTGTGAGGCCCTCATCTCCCTGGGTAAATAAGTTCTTCCTAATATCCAATCTAAACATGCTGTCTTTCCATTTAAATCCATTCCCCTTGTGGCATGTCCTATTTAATCTCACAGAACAAATGAGCATTTCCTGAATTGGTGCCTGTATTTTCCATCCAGTTATAAATTGATTAACATGATTCCAAACAGAAAGAAGACCCTGATTTTTTAGCAATTTTCAATTGCAGTTTGTAAATATCAATGAAGGCTGACCTAGAACAGAGACCAGACAGAGCTAGAGAATAAAGCAGGCATTTATTAAAAGGCCTCAATGGATCCACCTTGGGCAGCACCAGAGCCCAGCCAGGGCTGCACCCAAGATGACCCAAAATGGCCCCAAAATGCACGAGCGCTCCCGGGGGCTCTCCCTGGGATCAGTTCTGCTCCATTGGCACCTTGGAGTTCATTGTCCCATTCCAGCTTTAGCCCAGGCAGTCCCATCCTGCTTGTTTTTCTCTCTCCAGCCCACATTGTTTGTGCTCCTGGGCCTGAGATTTGGATCATTTGTCCTTGGTGCCCAGCTGGAGAAGGAATTGTTTTGTCTCCCTTCTCTGTGCAGAGAGCTCAGCATCCCCTGATATGAAGCTCAGACCCTCACACTAAAGCAACACAGAATTTGAAAAATAGAAAAGCTAAAACCTGAGGCATCAGAAGTAGCAGATTATTTAGGGATAGTTACCCCATATGCTGAGAGCCAAGGAGCACCACATCAGGAGTCCATGAATTAAATGGGGTCTCACAGTCCTGGGGACTGCAAACACATATTCACAACCCTAAATGTAGCTGCCCATCAGGCCCACATTATTTGCATGGATTTATCATCTATTAGTTTCTTCCCTGGAATTTTAGGAAATTTATAATAAATTGATCTGGCAAGACTTCACCATTTTTACCATGAAAAATCCAGCCAACAGTGTGTAAGCTGGTATGTCAGACATCCTGGTTTTGGTCAAGTTGTTGTAGAGAGAGTACATCATCCCCCCAGAAAAAAAATATAAACCAAACACATTCCTAAAGAAATGCCTACACAAAGCTTAAATTCACACTGTTATTTTCACAAGCATTGTTGCATTGCTGAAATATTCACTCTAGAGAGAAAATCATCAGCATCACTACCATAAAACACCACTATATTTAGTAGGTGCATGATGTAGATGCATGCTGGAATAACCCTTAAGATTAAAAAGACCCACACATTTCCATCAAATCTTTGTTTTTTCATTCATTTTCAAGTATCAAGCACATATAACTGAAAAAAAAATTATTTTATTATGATTTCCAGTTTATCACGACTGGTATAA